AATCATCTGGAATAGATAATCTCCCAGCTGAACTGTATAAAGAAGGTGGCCATGATACCATTATGGCATTACAGCAGCTAATAAAAGAAATATGGACACGGAAATCCCTCCCCAATGATTGGAATATTGGAATACTTTGCATCATACACAAAAAAGGAGATATCTTTGAATGCTCTAACAACAACGCTGTCAACAATAGAAAAACAGATTCTACATACGCACTTCACCTTCTAGATCATAATCATTATTTTAATGACGAATTTAAAATTTTTCACATTCAAAATAAAGTCCTTAAGCTATCTTTGTTAGAATCTATCGAAATTAACAAATTAAAAAACACAGATATAATTTTGAATGACCAACTTGAGACAAACAGTTCTCCCCTCCTCAACCTATTTCATTAAAGACTACAAAGTGTAAACGCATACCAAAATTACTTGAGAAAGGTACTCTGCCGAAACAGCTGTAGTGATAAGATTCTATAATAAATAATTTTGTGAAAGTTTTGAAAACAAAGTTTTCAGTGTTTTATTGTTACACAAAATTGAATTTCCATCAAGTAACGGTCGAATCTATCAATTAGTTAAATACGTTTGTAAATAACTATCTTTTGTAACGTAAAATAAAGTGCCCTTATATGCATCAAGCATTATTATTATCATTTGGACTTAGAAAATTGTTTCGACGAAGGATTATTTAATCCAAGTCTAGATACTTAGCAAGTTCCAACGTCTGACCCGCTACTCGTGCTGTAAAAAGGAGACAATTCCCAACACTCAACTCTGGATTTTCCCTTACTGAATGCTCGTTGTTTGTTTCGTTTTTTTGTCTCCTACTCACTGAATTTCTTTAATAATTTGGTTGATCCATTCCGCGTAACGGATACATCTGGATATTTGCCATTAAATATTTAAATTGCATATCTGTACGAAACAGTCCCAATACCATAGCATTTTACAAGATATATTATTTGTTGAACAGTTAGCATTGTCGAAAATTATTAACAATTTTAAAATTATGTACCAAAGTTCACAGTTACATGGTACATTGTAAAGGTCACTCACTACATTATTATTGCATTTCCAAACTTAGTGCAAGAACTCATATGGCTTTACATAAAATTGATGATAAACTGAAGTAGGTTTTAAAAAACTTGAATTTTACATATAAGGTTTGAGAACAAGCACAACTTTTTATCAAGAATGATATTTATCGCTACAAATAAGATTGTTCTCCTCGTGTGTACCTCCCACCAGTGAGCACACTATAGAAACAAATTTTAAGTGAATCGATAGCAAAATGATTGTAAGTGTATAACGGAATCTCATAAAAGTAAGAAAATAAGCACAGGGAAAACAAATCGCGTTTAACACATTTCACTTTTAAAATAAAAAAGTCCATTCAACGAATGTTTTTTAACAAAGAAACTTGTTTTCTTCCTACACCTCTACGGCCTTCTATTTTGCCTTTAAGCATCAGTTGTAATATTTTATATTGACTTCCCCTTACTATATGTCCCAGATAAGACATTTTTCGATGTTTAAAAGTCTTTAGCGGTTCCCTGTCTTTGTTGACGCTCCTTAGTACTTCTTCATTAGTTTTCCTTGCTGTCCAAGGTATCTTCAGCATTCGTCTATGAACCCACATTTCCAATGCTTCAATTTTGTTCATGATCGACACTTTTAGTCCACACTTCTGCACTATACAAAAGTACGGATCAAACATAGCACTTAACCATTCTTTACCTTAGTTTTACACTGAGATGGTTATTGCAAAGAAATGACTTCATTTTCATAAAAGTAGTTTTAGTCATTGCTATTCTACGTTTTATTTCTATGTCTGAATCTAGTTGGTCCGTTATCACAGTTCCCAAATATCATTTTGTGAACTTTCTCAACTTGGACTCCGTTTAATTGAAGCTTTGCATCGGGATGTGGGTCACGACTAAACACTAACAATTTGGTTTTGTTTGAGTTTATTTTAATGCCCATTTCCTCTCCTACCTCGCGAATACGATCAAGCAGAATTTGAAGACCTTCAATATTATCTGACAGAATTACTGTATCGTCTGCACATCTAATCACATTAAGTAGTTCCCCCTTGGTTTTTATTCCATATGGTTGTCTCTCAAGTGCCTTTTTAAATAACTGGTCCGAGTAAACATTGAACAATGTTGGCGACAAAATGCAACCTTGTCTGACTCCTCGTTGTATAGAGATTTCATCGGTGTAGTTATCTCCAATTTTTACGATAGCAGTTTGATTCCAGTACAAATTTTTAATGACACGAATATCCTTGTCATTTATTCCGATATTTTTCAGTATTTGCAATAATTTTACATGCTGTACGTTATCGAATGGCTTTTCGAAGTCCACGAAACATGCAAATACATATTTTCTTTGGTCACGGCATTTTTGTAATGGGATGTTAAGTGCAAAAAGTGCCTCCCTGGTTCCCATAGCATTTCTAAAACCAAATTGAGTGTCTTAAGATCTTCTTCGCATTTTCGTCTAATTCTGTTGTGAAGTATTCTGAGGAAAATTTTAAGAGTGTGACTCATTAGGCTAATTAATCGATATTCTGAGCATTTCCTCGCATTGTGTTTTTTAGGTATTACGGCAAAGATGGAAATGAGCCAATCTGCGGGAATCACTCCGGTGTTCTCTATTAGTTTCAGCTACTCAGTTGGTGTACCATCTGGACCACAAGCTTTTCAAATTTTAGCATTATTTACAGCATGTTCTACCTCGCATTTCATAATTTCTGGGCTGTCAGTACAGTTTTGTGCTGTTGTCATTTACAGATTTCGGCAATATCCTGTCATCTTCAAACAACCCTGATATACAGATTGAACGAATTTAAAACGGATCATACAATTTAATATATGTCTGTTTGAACTGCATTTGAAATAGTGGACCAATATAAAACTTGGACAAAAATAAATCCATACGCGGTGTTAGACATTGTATAAAATATCGTTCAGCTATCCGTCTTCTTTTAGAACGCACCATAGTCTAGAGCGCAGCTCAATGTCAATGTTGCCAGTCGCCGTGTAATAATCCGATTTGCGGATCTTTTTGAGAGTTATATCTTCTTCGTATCTTTAAATAAATCGGATATTTGCCTATATTTTTCACTGTATTTACCAATCTACTACAACATACTAATAACAAAAATAAACTTAATGGTTTGTAGTTATTTCAGAAGTTTGTAGTTATTTTAGAAACATCTAGTGGAATGATATTGGCAACACTGCTCAAAATCTCCATCTCCGATAAACGAAAGAGGGGCTTGCCTAAATGCGGCCACTCACGATACAGCGGCGTTGTTTAACTTCGTTTTTAACTACAACACTTGCTTTGATCATATTATAGAAAATCGAAATGGCTTGATTTAGCTAGAATTTTAAGAGAGTTTTTTTAATTATATAAAAAACAAGAATGCTTATAGCGAATAAAAGGTAAAACGTATCACGATAGAAACGCCCGAAAACAGGCAATGGACATTCTAGTTTTAAAGATCCAAGAATGAAACAAAGATGCGAATGAAGAGTATGTAAGAAAAATAATTTTAGAACATCCTATAAAAGAGAATTAAAATTAGCAGTGCAGTCCAGTAAATCGGGTGCAGGGGCAGACGAGATTTATTTTGCACCAAAATCTTGGATTCTTTGCACCAGAATCTACGTTTTATTTTGGGTTTCTTTTTACGCTTAGTTATACACAAAGTAAGAGACGCTAAAATGATTGTTTGATTTGACATGGTCGAGAACCGAACAAATACTGCGGCGCAGTATGGTGTGTGGGCGCACCAGATATACCAACAAATTGAACAACGCCTCTGTCCAATTATGTCGAACGACACCGCTGTACCGTGAGTGGCCGGCTTTAGGAACCGATAGGTGGTTTGACCACCTATGAATGAGTTCTTGAATTAGTTCAGAATCCAGCGGCCCGCTGAAGTATTGGATTTTTATAATATAATTATTTGACAACCTTTTGTTGAAGCAGAATTGAGCAGAATTGAGCCGAAATACATAATACATTTCGTATGTTCCGAATTTATTTCGTTCAATCTGTATACAGCTGCCATTCTTTTCTTATTTCGTGCTCATTTACAATAATTTTGTTATTATTGCCAACGAGAACAGAGAAAACTAGCTTTTTAAATATGTTACTCATTTCTTTTAGTTTTTTGTGCACATTAAATAAGTCGTGTTTAGATATTACATCTTCCATTTCGTCGCATCTTTCTCTAATCCATTTTTCTTTTGCTAATTTGATCTCCTTAGATAGGACAATTCTTCTCTTGATGTGCCTATCCGTTTCGAATGTTGGCGATCATCATGGCAATCTTTATCTTATCTGCAGCAGCGCGGAAAAGCTGCACATATGTTGTATTAAACCAGATTCTGAGGTTCTTTAACCAAGATGTTCTTCTTCATTTCGCATAATATGTCCGAAGAATTGTAACTTTCGAGATTTAATGGTGGTCAGTACCTCTCGGTTCTTATTCATTCTTCTGAGGACCTCCTCATTTGTGACTACGTCAGTCCATGGGATCTTAAGTATTCTCCGATATAGCCACATTTTAAATGCTTCCAGTTTGTTGCACCTATCTTCGTTCAAGGTTATTCAACACTATAAAAAAGAACAGAGAAGACGTAGCATAGCAGCATTCTTACTTTTGTATCAAGAGAGAGGTTGTGACTCTTGAAGAAGGCCCCCATCCGATTGAAGGTGGATTTAGCTTTTGCGATGCGTGCTCTAATCTCCTGGTTGTTGGTTCATTCTTCATTTATTATGGTGCCGAGGTAGTTGTAGTGCGTCTCTTTTTCTACAGGGGATTGGTTAACGTAGAATTTGACCTTCTGTTATCCTTTTCTTGCTAATTACTAATAATAGGACAATTAGAATTACATATTATGCTGAAGAGTGCATAAATTTTAAATATAAAATTGTTTTGAGTGTTACACTTAGTCATAACAAAAAATACTTTACCTTGCTGTTGGTTTCCTCAAATTGGTTAATAATACGCCAGAAATTAATAAATATACCAGCATAATTCCAGGAGTGCCTCCACCCAGAGTTGTCGATAACTTATAAACATAAATAGCAATATCCAGCAAAGGTTTGGCAGTATTGCAATATAAATCGGTAACTCCTTCGCAAAACTTATCTATATCAGTAGTCAATAGTTGATCTGCGTTTGATATCCTATTGTCTAGATTTGTGATCCTGTAGTAGGTGTAATTCTTCAAATATTCTTCATAGAGATGTCTTGTCATGTTAGTTCGCAGTTGGATTTTCAGAGCACCTATTGAGTATTTTAGGACATTGTTTACCACTGAGATTATCGGAATAGCTAAGACATAGTAGAGCAAGCGATTCTTGAAGAGAGTTGGGTTCATTGCGATGATTGAACTGAAAAGGAAAAGTGAATATTAGCACAACTTGTTTATATATTTACACAACATTAGTTATATAGTTATAGTTATATAGTTATACAAACACCCATTTATCCGTAATTCTGTAATCCGTAATTCTGTAATGTTTTTTTAAATATTTACGAAAACCTATTATTTTATAAACTTTTTTTTTGGCTTGGACAATTGTCGTTCAACCAGTCACAATCAACATAAATTTTAAAGAATTTAAATATGTCAATTAGTGAAACATGATTAATATAATTGGTTATTCCAACTAAAAATTACCTGAAGTATATTGTTAAAGATCCTCAAGTCCAAAATGACAAATGCCGATATGGATGCCAAGCCCAAGAAACCATCCAACATCTTACCGGTGGCTGCCAGGCATTTGTCGGTACTGATTATAAAGAACGCCATGACTCAGTAGGAAAGATTATTCACCAAGAACTAGCTGACAAACTGGGACTTCTTCATACCGACCATCTTCCTTATTATCAATACGCTCCTGATAGAATGCTTGAAAATGACAACTACAAGCTATACTGGGACCGCACTGTGCTTACAGACCAACCAGTGGCCCATAATAGACCGGATCTCATACTAGTTAATAAACTTACTAGACAAACAACACTTATTGATGTGGCGATACCCAACACCAATAATTTAGTTGTTAAATACAACGAAAAGATCGCCAAGTACAGAGATCTAGAAATACAAATCAGGAGACAATGGAGAATGGAAAGTACCCAGACACTACCTATTGTTCTATCTACTACTGGTGTTATTCCCAAAAACCTCCTAGCGAACATAAAACAGCTGGGTCTAAATGAACATCTTTATAAGGCCATGCAGAAAGCTGTACTCCTCGCGACGTCCAGATGTGTACGAAAATTTCTGGGAGATACTCCAATATACCAAGTCACCTAGGGCTCGATAACATGGAAAGAGTCCCACCAGAGCTCAATCCTTTTAATACCGTAGGTATCTGGGATGAGTGAATTTTCCCCTTAGAGGGAGTGTGAGCCGTATGGCTAAATCTGGATAATAATAATAATAATTCGGGAATAAACGGGAGATTCATAACCAAGAGGTAGTTGTGGATCAAGACCATAATGAAATCCCAAATGAGCAGATTCCTGAGCCCCTTATACAAGACACTCAACCTGTTATTACCCAGCAGGACAACAACGAGTTGCACAATAGCCTGGTAAGAGAAATGGCACGTGCCATACAAGAGTTTAATGGTACAAACCCACTTAGCAGACCACCGCTACCAAAAATAAACTCTTGTAAGAAACTAGGTGCGCTGTTACAAATTATGAACACTGAAGTCCTACCCAATTATATCGTGGAAGCACATACATTAGAATATTTGCATATGCTGATTTACTGTGCAGCAACAGCAATTGCTAATGTTATGGGCATTAAGATCAGAACACGACGGGGAACTAATATCGGAAGGACTGAAAACAGAATTGCACCCTGGGAAAAAAGACTGCTGAGGAAAATTGCATTATTGCGCAGGGATATTGGGCAAATTACCGAATACATCCGAGGAGTAAGAAGTCAAAAACTAATTAAAAGAGCTGAAGAAATTATTCTGAACACTTCAAGACACTCACAACATGATCCAGAAAACACCACAGCTCAACACTGCCTAGACACATTAAAACAAAAACTCTCCGTTTATTCAGGTCGCTTAAGGAGATACAAAGTTAGTAACAACCGTAAATGCGACAATATACTTTTTGAGAATTCAGAGAAGGCTTTCTATAGGAAACCAAATTCCACTGTAGAAAATGTAAATAAATCCTACCCAAGCCAAGAAGAAATTCATGAGTTTTGGGGAAATCAACTTTCGACGCCAGCTACCCATAACAACAATGCTGGATGGATTGAAGACACGGAGAACAATTGTCAACACTATAGGAATATTCCTTATGAACCTTTCACCACTGAAGAAGTCTTGAACATCATCAAAGAGCTTCATAACTGGAAATCTCCTGGACCAGACGGAGTTCAAAACTTCTGGTTAAAGAAGTTTTGGAGTGTTCATGAGCTTTTAACAGTATTTATTAATAATATTATTTCTAATTTACAGGAAACACCATCATTTCTTACTCAGGGAACCACTTATCTAATACCGAAGGATCAAAATAACACCCAAGATCCAGCCAAGTACCGCCCAATTACTTGTCTTCCAACTTTGTACAAATTGGTCACATCCTGTGTGGCCCGGCGTATCTACCAACACTGTGCTCTGAACAATATCATAGAGCCCCAACAGAAAGGATGCGCTAAGGGCTCCATGGGATGCAAAGAACAACTTATTATCGACTCAGTCATTTCTAACCAGGCATACACCAAAAAACGAAACCTGTTTACTGCCTTCATTGACTACAAGAAGGCTTTTGACTCAGTGCCGCATGAATGGCTTATAGATATATTGAAAATATATAAAGTCGATGATAATCTCGTGACCTTTTTGAAGCATATAATGACAAAGTGGAAGACTAAAATTCACCTTCAAATACCTGGTGAAACCAATATCGAAACTGAAGATATCGCTATTAACCGGGGCCTTTTCCAGGGGGACTCGTTGAGTCCACTTTGGTTCTGCCTAGCGATGAACCCACTATCTCAGCTGCTGAACTCCACTGACTCAGGATTTAGCATCAAAAATAACAACACTGTTGTGGCGAAGCTTAATCATCTGTTGTATATGGATGATTTGAAACTAATGGCTTCCACTCGAAATCACTTAGATCAGATGCTAAAAACTGTAGAAACTTTCTCAAATGATATCAGTATGCATTTTGGACTAGACAAGTGCCGTATACTAAATATAGTCAGAGGAAAGGTTCAGCCCGGAGGTTTCGATATGCAAGATGGCCAAAACATCGAGGCAATGGGTGAAAATGATATTTACAAATATCTCGGAGTAAAACAGGCGCGGAAAATTGACCATAAACAGATGAAAACTGAACTAACTTCGGAGTTCGTGCGAAGAATAAGACAACTAAATCGGTCGTATCTTAATAGTAAAAATTTGTTTAAGGCATTAAATACGTAGGCCTGTTCCGCGCTGAGCTACTCATTTGGTATTATAAAGTGGTCAAAAACGGATATAGAGGGTCTTCAGCGGAAAGTAAGAACACTTCTCACAAAGGCGCAAAAACATCATCCACGCAGTGCAGTAGAGAGAACAACATTACCGCGGTATCAAGGAGGAAGAGGACTTATTGATATAGGTGAGCAATTAGATAAACAAATTGCTAATTTAAGATCTTATTTTCAGGTACAGGCTGAGACATCTACTTTACATCGAGCAATTTGCGCAGTAGATGACACAACGCCGCTTAAACTGAGGGAACAAGAAATGCGCACAAACCATCTGACTCAGCAAGAAAAAATGCGCACCTGGATGAGTAAACCTCTGCATGGGCGACATCTCAATGAGATCAACCAAGAATATGTCGACAATACAGCGTCGAACTATTGGTTGACATCAGGAAAGATGTTTCCCGAGACTGAAGGTTTCCTACTTGCCATTCAGGATCAGGTTATTCCAACTAAAAATTACCTGAAATATATTGTTAAAGATCCTCAAGTCCAAAATGACAAATGCCGATATGGATGCCAAGCCCAAGAAACCATCCAACATCTTACCGGTGGCTGCCAGGCATTTGTCGGTACTGATTATAAAGAACGCCATGACTCAGTAGGAAAGATTATCCACCAAGAACTAGCTGACAAACTGGGACTTCTCCAAACCGACCATCTTCCTTATTATCAATATGTCCCTGACAGAATGCTTGAAAATGACAACTACAAGCTATACTGGGACCGCACTGTGCTCACAGACCAACCAGTGGCCCATAATAGACCGGATCTCATACTAGTGAATAAAATTACCAGGCAAACAACACTTATTGATGTGGCGATACCTAATACCAACAATTTGCTTGTTAAATACAACGAAAAGATCGCCAAGTATAGAGATCTGGAAATACAAATCAAGAGACAATGGAGAATGGAAAGTACCCAGACAGTACCTATTGTTCTATCTACTACTGGTGTTATTCCCAAGAACCTCCTAGCGAACATAAAACAGCTGGGTCTAAATGAACATCTTTATAAGGCCATGCAGAAAGCTGTACTCCTCGCGACCTCCAGATGTGTACGAAAATTTCTGGGAGATACTCCGACATACCAAGTCACCTAGGGCTCGATAACACGGAAAGAGTCCCACCAGAGCTCAATCCTTTTGATACCGTAGGTATCTGGGATGAGTGAATTTTCCCCTTAGAGGGAGTGTGAGCCGTATGGCTAAATCTGATAATAATAATAATATCCTGTGGGAGTTTTTATCAGTTCTTCTATCAGGCGCGGCCCCCTGCGAATGGGGGATGCTTTCTGGGTATCCGTAGCGCAGATACCCAGAGGGTAACAGGAATACCTGTCGTGGAACAAAAACTGACACCTGGCAGTAGGTATAAAATGCACACCCATGATAATGGAGTTTAATAATTTATGTTTAGGGTCGCTGCCTGGGGATCGCCAGGGCACGTCTGGAGCCGACGCTGGACGTGACAGCATGCGGGACGTCGGTGGCAGGGTGTTGAGGAGGCGGGCCCCTGTCATACAATCAGCTACAGCCCAACAACAACAACAACAACCACAAGTGAGCCAAACAACAACAAGAGCTCCACTCGCTGAAGGTGCTGCGCTGGAACATCAGCCGGCGCTCACTCAAGCGGGACGACCGAGGCAGCGTATGAAGTGGACAGTGTCCATAAACGAAAATATTTTGCGCTTTTATTATAAGGTGACAAACCTCGGTCAAGAAACAATCGGCTATCGACAACAACTGTATGCCGAATTTTGCAGGGAGTACCCAGAAATCCAAGTATCTGAACAAAGAGTAGCAGATCAATACCGGGTAATTTTAAGAAACAATCTTATTCCAGAGAATAGACGCGACACCATCAGACG